AATTCTGGGAGTTGAAGTCCACACCTCTGAAAGCTGCCAAGGTTGAGAAACACTGGTCTAGGATCTAGTATTCCATTAGGAGTGACAGCACCTAGCTGACCTTGGACCACTCACTCCCTCTCAGCTCAAATTAGTGATAGACCCTGCAACAAACCAGCTGAAGGACAACTCCCTTGTCTGTCTGTCTGTCTGTCTGTCTGTCTGTCTGTCTTGCCAATTTATACGGCCATCTATCTCAGTCAAAGAACTCTGGGTAGCCGACAAGGCATAGAGGCAAAAACATGCATGTAAAAACAAGAAAAAGAACAATAAAACAATGCCAGGTAAAAATAGCCAACTCCTCAGTCAACACAGAATAAAACACACCGACTGTGCTCTACTAACATCCTGGTCCTAAAGCCTGAGGGAAGACCCAGGTTCTTAAGGTTTTATGGCTACCAAAAAGGGTGGGGTTTCAATTGCGCCCACCCTCTTGACTTTTTTTACCTCCTCCCTGCATATATCCCCAACTGGAAGAAACTCCTTCCTAGTGCAAGCTATTCACCGGTGGAACTGGCTGGCCTGGAAAGTAAGGGCTCCCCTTTGCTGGGGGAGTCGTTAAGTTATTAAGTTATTATTAGTTATTAATGTTATTAATGTTATATTATTGTTAAATTATATAAATAAAATATTAAGTTATTGTTATTATTAAGTCGTTAAATATAAGTCGCATATCTTTCAAGAATGTTAGAAAAGCAGAGCCCTGCACTGAGTTGGGGTTGGACTAGATGTCCCACCTTGTCCCTTCCACGTTGTGATTTTATGGGAAAATATTTAATACATTGTTCCCCATCCAGCTGCATCTCGAAGCAAAGCTCTTCTACCTTGCTGGCCTAAATTGCATCACTTTTATTTTGTTCTCCGCAGGAGATCCCTCTGGATGCTTCCGTCACCTCGTATGAACTTCAAGATCTCATTCCTTCAAGCTGGTACCGGGTCCAGGTCCAGGCAGTGAGGAGAGGCGCACCAACAGCCTCCATCTCCACGTCCTTCACCACTGGTGAGCTCCTGATAAGTGTGTGTTTGAGTCAGACCACCTGTGGTCCTTTTTTGACTTCCAAAACTCCAAATAAGTGTTTGCTGCTAATAAGTAGGATAACGTGATGGAATAGAATTATGACGGCCAGGCTCAGGGAGATAAGCGTTTTCTTAGCTCACCGACAGAGCGTGGGAACTACAAGAGGATGAGGCTGGCACCTCCCTGAGGAATTCACGGTGTTGTGGCTGGCCGGCTTTTGGGGTGCGGTTTTTGGGTTGGGGGGTTTTTTCTTGAGGTGTTTAGTTATTAAAAAAGGTGGGGCTGGTTTG